CAAAAGCCCCAAATCTCTTAAAATTAGAGTATTTGTATCTTTACTTTCTGGACACCCTGTAATTTAACTGACCTGCTTATCCTAAATACAGGTTACCATGGCAACCTTATCTCAAAATTTGTTTAAAATATAGCTATAATATTTTAGCATTGTATGTGTAATTACATAATCTTCAAGTTCTGAAAAAATGAGAGGGATATGAGTGGAAAATCACAAAATGAGAGCATTTTTATCAGAATATATGGATCGCCCCTTGTAGTGATGAAAACTAGGGTCAAATAAATGGCTTCCTCAGCACTAAGACTCTAATACACCATTGGGAGTGTCAGCTTTAAGAATCACAACTTCATATGTATTTTGGTGGATACAAAGATACATATTAACAATTTATCCCCAAGGGGTCATTTATTAATTTCATGAAATCAATTTCAAAATGAAGAATTCCCCCTTAGACCAGAAAATATTATATCTAGGTTTACAATAACTAAATGAGTATTAAATGATAATATTTTCGGGAATATTTAAGGGTTGGAACTAATTATAGCAGTAATAGTAAACACAAATGTTACACACTAATTTCAAGATTCAAATCTCTTTTCTACAGAAAACAGGAATGTTTACGCATTTTGTAGCATAATGCAGTCACCGCACTTCACTTATTTAAGCGGTGACTGCATTATGCTACAAAATGCGTAAACATTCCTGTTTTCTGTAGAAAAGAGATTTGAATCTTGAAATTAGTGTGTAACATTTGTGTTTACTATTACTGCTATAATTAGTTCCAAAGGATCACACGCAATCTTAACAAAATGGTATAAGTGATTTACTATGTAATATCAAGCTTGAGTGAAATCTATCAAGCCAAATATTTGATCTCTATTGACACACCTATTTACTCATATAGCATCTTTTTATTTCACTCAAATGTAGAATTCTGTGCATAATGTCTAATATGGAATAATTCCAATTAATAGTTTCTGAGACATAACAAACCATATTGCCATTCGGAAACCATACGCTTTCACATACAACCACCCTCATACCCTCATATAAACTGAGGAGAGAACCAAAGTAACATACATTACTATGTATTTGATCATAGAAGGTGACACAAATATATCATTTATGCAATAAAAGTACATTCTCCTGTTTTGTCTGAAAAAAATCAACAAAATACATATTATGTAAAAAGGTAAATTGGCATTGTTTTTCTGAGATTTATTGAACAACAGGAGACCACCTCATCAGAAGGTCAGAGAACGACGCAAAGCTAACGCCCATCATACCAGTTGAATATCTCACATCATTGCAAGAGATTGTACTATATATGAATACATATGTAGGTACCAAACCTATAACATGCTTATAATCAACGCAGACCTCATAATGGCAAATTCATTTAAGTTTAGTTTAGTTTTTAAAGAAATCAATGAAAACATATAAACAGAATATATTGAAGCAAATCGACTCTCTAGAAAAATCAGATCCAAAGCGATTCTGGGAATTGGTTCGAAAGAGATCTGATGAACATAACAATAATAAAACTAGCAACATTGGTGCCGACTCATGGCTTAAATATTTTTCTGATCTGAATAAAAAATCACATCCACTTGTCGAGAATAAAATGATTCAGAACTTAACACATTAAAAACAAAAGAAAAAATTGTAATAAACATATTGTAATACATGGAAATTAAATGTTAACATTAACAAAACCAAAGTGGTGATATTTAATGAAACTAAAAAGAAAAATATCTTTAAATTTGGTAATAGAGTGTTGTTATTTGGGTGTAACATTTCATCAAAATGGTAATTTTAAATCTGCATATAATGTTTTGTACTGTTTTACATTAAAGGCCCAATATGCAGTTAAAAATGTATTTTATAATAGTAATGCGAAATCGCAGATAAAATTATTTGACACTTTAGTCAAACCGATTGCACTCTATGCTTCTGATGTTTTGGCTACAGGTATTGTAAAGTTAAAAGCCAAATCCTTGAAGGACGTCCTTTTAGATAATTGCTACACGTATAAATGCAAACCGTGAACCTGAACGCGCAAGTCCACGCTCAAGTACACCTTTAAGAAAATTTTCAGTTAAGCTACACGTCTGAAACCATGTCAGTGGACGTGGAGCTATGTGGGGACTGTGTCTAAAGGTCATGTCTTTATGGTGTAATGGATAGCACTTCGGCAATTTAGCACTTCACGTATATCCGTTAGGCCTGGGTTCGAATCTAGTCGCAATAAAACATTTTGTTTTTTATTTTTGATTTATTTCATATTCAACCACAATTAAAGGGTCTAGTGCACTTTCCTTTATGATTTCCCCATGAATAAAATGAATCATTTTTAACTGTAACATAAAGAATACAATGTCATATAATACTTGGAAATTACTGGATAACATTTAAGCGTTTGGACCCACATTGGCTGAGGTTGAGGTCATTAAGTTCAGCAAGGGTATATTGACGAGACATTGGATGTATTCTATTGAATTAATATGTGGATACCATCAGATTCCGATGGAGGCCATTGGTTTCTATTTATTTTCCCAAAAATACCTAAAATAGACTACGACGTATGACCTGAATCGATTGCAAATTAAATAATTTCACAATATGACACAAATGATATATCACATCAGATGTGCAAATATAAAGTTTGCAATCGATTCAGGTCAAACTTCAAATTAAAAGATAATACATTCTTTCATCGTTTTTTCCTACAAAATGGCTATAGAAAAATGATTCAAAAGCAACTTTTACAGTTTGTAAATACAAAGATTATACTGTTATGTTTCATTAATAAATAACATATTTGGATAAAATGTCGGGATGTGTAGGATGCAAATGGATTTTGACAGACACAAAAAGACTTCATGGTTTGGCATCTCTACCCCTGTACACTTTATTATTGAATATTAGCCCATTCATCAATACAGTGCTGAATATAGGTCAACAAGATACTAGTGTACATATAAATGTAATTATAAAAGCAGTATATTTATTTTGAAGAATCAGATGAATTTATTTTTGTTCATGGGGAGATCATAATGGAGGGCGCATTAGATCCTTCCTTGCCCTTGTTGTCATTTCATTTCGTTTAGTATACATATTGTACTAAGCCCCGGGCAATTGGTCTTGCCAATTTATATTGTACGAAATGAACAAACGATCACATTTGAAGATGTCATTTACCCATTAAAATGTATTCTTATTTCCAATTAAGAATTGGGGTTTACCAATATAACAAGCAAGATTGTCTGTATCAAATATGGGCTCCAGGGCCATCCTAGAACATCCTAGAACATAGCTAAACATAGCTCAATCAAGTAATGAGCGACGTGTAATCACTCATCTACACCAAGGAGGATTGGCTCCCAGAATCGAAGTCGATATTTTCCAACAATGAAAACGCCGAGATGTCGTTATTTTCTGAAATTATAACCGATTATAAATTCAAAATAAACCGTTCAAAAGATTCGAACCAATATCTCAATCATTTCCTGTGAGTTTTGGAATTTTTCGTTAGGAAATAAGACCAAAATTTACGATTCAAATGTTGAAGTGAACAAAATGGCGGCTGTTGGAATTCAAATTTTGTAGCACGACATGCCCATATATGGGACAGAATATCGATGTTGCACTCTGGGAGCCAGTCCTCCTTGCATCTACACGTAAAAACCTGTAGAAAGTAGACTAATCTGACGTCATTTTCCTGCGCGCGCATAGTACACGTTCATGCTTTGTTTAAACACGTCTGTAAATTGCACGGATATGATAATCTCATGTAAAAACCTGTAAACTTCACGATGGCCCACAGGAAATAAACAACTTTGGCGTCATTTATCTGCGCGCGCATTCAAGTTCACGTTCAGGTTTTGTTAAATACGTGTAGCTGATGAAGAACACATTCTTTCTTGTTGATCTCAATCGCTATATCTCAGTAAAATAAAAAGTATAAACAATAGTTTTTCTCATTTTAATACGTACAAGTAGTCTATTTTCATACTCCTTGTTAGCGCACGATGATACAATATTAATGAAACAAATGGTGATTATTTTCATAATATTACCAAAGAGTTATTAACCCAAACTGACGTGAAATCATTTTATGCTACTTAGTACTTAGTGATTGTTAAAATTAGTAATTATTGTTTTGCCATGCATGTACATGAATATTTTATTTGTTATTTGCTTTATTGGACTTATATCTCGATATACATTAGATGTTCAAGAGACCAATAAACTTATTAATAATTGTAAAGATAATGTGCACAAACATATTATACCCTTTGATTCTACCCAGAATCAACTGCATGATATACCAACAATATAATACCCTCAGCCATTTGTATCGTAACCCAATAATACACCACAAGCCCGCAATTCGACATATACGGGGTGGGCCAAAAAACGCCACTTTAACTACACTATAACTTTTTCATTTTCCCACCAACATACACCGAATTTTGCAGTTATGTAGTGCAATTTGGGAGTCATTTTACCTTTCCCGAGCTATTAGTGCAGCGTTTGGCCTAATGTCTTCTTCTCCATACCTATTTTCTTAAAATATATGCACTTGTCGACGAATACCACCAATCAGACTTGCAAATAAACTTCTAAATAAGCAATTGAATGGATGGACGTCCCGCATTTTGTTTTTGGAACACTTTTGAATCTCCGCCATCTAGGATTCTTACTGCAGCTTAGATTAGAGAATCAGCTTTTCTCGGTTTGGGAAAATTATGGGACGTAGCAAATTATTTCCGATGACGTAGGTTCATACAACACTCACTTTTATTTTCACATCCTTCAATTTATGTCTATCGTCTGATAATTATTAACAGATTTTAGTTAAATTACAACTTCTATGTATCGATAACCTCTATGAATCATCGAAGGTGAAGACATTTATCACAACCTTATCAGCAAAGCACTTCATTTTCATACAATATTTTCAAGATTTATGACAAACTACTCAAAATATACAAGAAAAAAAGAACGGAGTGAATCTGTTCAAAAATCGGATTGGCTTCCTGTCAAACCTTAGTTGACATTTTGATGACGTATTATATACTAATATGCGGTATATGATTTCAGAGGCGTGGATTAAAGTGCAATGTGATATAAAGCGACTGAACTGTCGTGTTTACTGAATGATTATTCAAGGTTTTACGAAGGAAGCAGTGAAGCGAACTTTATAGGAGAATATACAAAAGTCTGAAATTATGGCAAGTTTGATATGGAGCCTCCTTTGTCTAGTGTGTGTATGTAAGTATAAGAATTAATCGTATTTATTATCAATAGCTATATTTCGTATGTAGTTTTATTCAGTGATCATTGGTCACGATCTCCAAAGGATTGGCAACAGAAAATCCCGTTTGAATATTATCAAGCCTATTTTTATTCGTCGATTTTAACAAACTCATTTAAAACTGCCCTTTCGAAAAAAACGCAATCTTGGGTTGTTCCCGGGGTCTCGAGTGATATTTTGAGCTATAATGAGAGAATATACAATGGGGAAAATGCTGTGCAAAAATACTCACGATAAAGGTGTTATTATGATGATTGGTCTTTCGATTGCTCGGATGATCGGCCGGTCATTTGATTTTTCGAAGATTTCTAAATTTAGAATGTCACGTGACTAGCTAATTAGAAGTTTAGATAGTAATAATAATAAACCAAATGTTAATAGTTCTCTATGATAACACGTTGTTGTGATGTTTTAATTGATCATGTTAGCATATTCCTTCCTAGATCTTTCTTTATTTTGATGTGAAATAACAACACGGTGTATAACCCAAACGCTCCTACATGCACGACGGAGCGTTTCATTACTGAAATTAAACAAAGAAACGCTCCGGAGTAGGAAAACTGTCTGGCGGGAATGATGAGCCGTCTGACGATTTCCCCAATAATGGGAATAAGATGTATGAGTTACATATTTCGAGTATACCATTCGATGGGTGTGATATTCATGTTGTACGTGGCTGGCTGTTGACGTTTGAAGCAATTAGGAAGAGCTGTACGAAGCAGTATAGTTATCAAAATTCAAAAACGTATTTGTCATTCTACCGGTCAAAACCCGTTTTGTCGATACATGTGATTAGTTGAGCCAAGATTAGAGCACCAACGTATATTTTAGTCAAATTCCAATGCTTCAACGCACCATACATTATCGTAATAGTGATTTGATGACCGAAAATCCAGTCTTAAAAATGATGACATTCTCATATTCAAGAAACGCTCCGATCTGGTTAACACAGTGAATTGGAAACGCTCCGGTAGTCTAGATCAGTTAAGGAAATATATAGCTTGCCTTTCCTTTTCAGGAAGAGAAAGAAAAGACCTATTATACCCCTTGGCATCAATAGAAGAAAGATTAATTCACATATAACTTTTCGTTTTTTCTGTAGTTTTATGATTTAGCATATATGTAGGCATGACATCATCTAATGTATAGGCTTTAATCAGCTAGTTGCACGTTTAGCACCACCAGGTTCAGATGTTTCAATTTGCCTAACAAGTACAACACGTTTTTGAAAGATAGATTCGATTCGGAACTCTTCTCTAATAATTTGAAAATGATATCAAAACAAAATGGTAAGAGCGTTTCTAAAATTGTGGTTTAAATCGACGGAGCGTTTCGAGGAAAACAAGCGATTTCTCGAGAACAAGTAATGGATTTGGACTGGGATTTTAGGAAATGAGAATATACGAGTTTGTGATCTACTACTTAAACAGAAAGATTAACGTTTTCATAGAAATACTAGTTTAATTCGTAATTTGTGGTCAAATCGTCATCTTCAGATTCGTTCGATCTACACTTCGGAGCTTTGATCAAGCAAATAACAGTTTACCACCAGAAGTTGAATAAATAAGATCTTTGCTCACGGTATTGTTCATCGAATGGTACATAATATTTCACCATGACATATGATATGTAAGAGAAACGAGAGAAACAATACTTACGGTCATAGTAGAATCTTCATTAGCCGCCATTTTATTTCGCTCCGGAGCGTTTCCGCGTAAATGTAACGCTCCGTCGTGCATGTAGGAGCGTTTGGGTTATACACAGTGAACAAGCTATGGTATTGGTTAATACGCCAGAAATTAACATATTAGTATTCGAAGCGTTTTTAGAAAATTTCATTAATTGGGAGAATAACAGTTATTAAATCATTCGCACTGTCAAAAATTGTCCACATTATGATGAGTCTACCAAAAATATCTCTTGAATATCATAAACGATTAAAGAATCTTTTCGTAACGTACTGGAATTCGGCGGTTTCAAAGGTAAGTTTCAATCAAATCTGTCAAGATTTTAAAGATGGCGGTCTTAAAATGATAGATCCGCAAATATTTGAACAGTCTTTAAAACTGACCTGTTTACAAAAACTAACAAAACCGGTATGTGGCAATCCGTGGCACCGAGTAGTAGTATCGGAGTCCACCATGCGCAAGAATTATTCTCAAACGACTCTAAATCACTTCAGAAAATTGAATCAAAAATTGTTAATCCTTTCTGGAAAGGAGTAATTAACATTTTTAGAACGTATACTGTATTGAAGGAAAATGAATTTGAACAAAAATCAGATTTGAAAGCGGAGTATTTAATTAATTGCACCTGGCTAATGTATAGTAAAAACCAGAATGTAAATGCCGCCATCAAAAATATTAAAAACAATAGTGTTCTTACTCTGAAGGACATGCTCTCTAAGTCCAAACGATTGTTTGCCCTCAATGAATTCAAAGAACGCTTCAATTCAAATATAAATTTTCTAGACTTCTTAAGTCTTAAAAATACAATACCAGTTCAATGGACAAAAACAATATTCGAAAACGACAAAACTCTTGACCACTATCCAAATAGCATAAACAATCTATTGAAATTCACAGAAAAGAAAAAGATCTCCAGAACAATCGATGTGAATTCATTAAGGATCTCGATTTTAATAAAAGTTATATTTTAAAGTGGAACGATGAACTGAATATTGATCTCAATAATCATTAATGGCATATCATAAATACTATTTAAATCAGAAATCTTTTGAAAATTTGAATTGGCTTATGATATGAATACTATGTGCTGCTAACGTGTCTATTTCGTCAGTTGTCACAATTATTTAACTTTTTTCACATGTTTTCCCCTGGTACTCACCTCCATAAGTTTGGCAACCTTAGCTCCCCCATTGAACTACGTGCTAAAGCCTCTTTACGTTTGAATTTTGTTTACTTAAGCTGCGATGAAAATACTTATACTATTGATTGAAACGTAATTTGACTTTATTTCCAATACCTCCAAATTTTCTCAATTTGTTTCCTCAAATACAATAGGTCGAAATTTGATGATAAATTTGATGAATTTTTAAAATCGACATTCCCATGCTAACCAATGTAAAATGGTAGGTTTGCCGCAGGTCATATGACAGAATATCCATCACTCTGAGCCCTTGCAAAAAATACAAGTTAGGTAGGCAATTGAATTTGCTAACTTTATTTAACAAAAAAATGATACCTTTCTTCAGGATTAGCAAAGTTATAGGTCTTTAAAGTCAAAATTATTTTTCAAAAAACCTCTCCCATTGAAATAACACAGGAGGCGAAAAATGATTTTCAAAAATGACTTTGAAGCTCTGTAACTTTAGTATTCATTAAGTAAGCTAAACACTTAGTGTACAAAAAGTTAGACAATTCAATTTTCTATAAAAAAAATATTTTTTCCTGAATCTTTTACTGAATAGATATCCTGATTTCTGATTTCTAATTTGCCTCGAACCCACCATTTCCCATTGGTTAACATGGGAATGACGATTTTCAAAAAATCATCAAATTTATCATCAATTTTCGACCTATTGTTATCGAGGAAAAAAATGGGAAAATTTGAAGGTATTGGAAATAAAATCAAGTTACGTTTCCATCAATATTATCAGTTATTTCATCACAGGTTAAGTGAATAAAAATTCAAACGCAAAGAGGCTTTAACACGTAGTTCATTGGGGGAGCTAAGGTTGCCAAACTTATGGAGGGGAGTGTATAATTCAAGTTGACCGATGGTATATATATCGAACAACGTGATCGTTTTAAAATAAATTTTATTGATCTACCCTAAACACTCGAAGATTTAAACATTCGTATATTATGAAACATTGCATGGTTCTTAATCATAGGATCAGGCCTGTCAACTGTCCCGCAATTTGCGTATTTGTCACGCATTTGCAGAAGAATTTGAAGTCACGCCAGTTATTTTTGCGTGACAGAAAATGTCACGCAAATACGCATTTTACCTGGTAATTGTCAAGCAAAAATATTTCTGTAGAAAAATTTCTAAAAAAGATCGTCTACACAGCAAAAATACGAACGCCGGAAAAAAATGTACGCATTTCGTTCGGACTTTTCACGCGAATTACGTATATGTCATGCATTCCGAAATTTTTCGTACCTACCCCCCCCCCCCCCCCCCCCCTCCCCCGTTGATGGATGTTTGAAACGCGAGCGTAGCGAGCGAGAAAAGTTTGAGGTGTTCAAAATTTGGCAAGATGTAATGAAATTTAAACCAAGGTGTTCAAAATTTGGATCAAGGTGTTCAGATTTGGACCAAGGTGTCCACATTTTGAGGGGAGGTGTTCAACATTTCCAAGTCACTCATGTTAGGTGTTCCCAAGTTGACAGGCCTGTAGGATATCCTCTTACTGTTAATATGATGATGTTGAGATAAAAATTGAAAACAAACATGAATCAACACACGTACAATTTCCAAATCGGATGTACATATTTTTGGTTTTAAAAATGTCATCGTTTCAAAGGACCAGGCAATGTATCGCGAACAATTTTGGACAGATTTATTTTTGACTGGGAGTATTGTTGGATCACACATTCCTCATTTCACAATTAGAACAATATATTATCTTCAACTTGATCACAAAAAGATAATGGATTACAGTGCTGATATATAATAATTAAGGGTGCGTTTTCAAACTAAACAGAGTGCTCCTACCAAAATGAATTTGCCTACATACCCCTGAGACTCTTATCTGATAGATAGAATGCACAAATAATACAAAAGTTTTGCTATTATAGGTAAAAAGTTCTCTTGAAATTTCGAAGTGATTTTACCTGTTAATTCTGTCCATGGTCAGCCATTTTTGCGGAAGTTACACTGAAACGGAAACTCCATGAAACGAAACGAAATCACTAGAAAAAATATGGCACACATTGTGCGCATGAGCAGCAAAGTTTAAACCAATCATATTATTTGATTTTTTGCGCACGTGAATTATTTGCTTCTGAGCACTTACAAGCTTACCACAATAAACAAACCTGGCAGAGACTACCCTTAGCCTACTTCATTTTGGGGAAATTTCAGCTCAAACTCGTGACAAATGCATAATGCATACGCTGGTGTGAAGCCTTGGAGACACTAATTTTGGTAAATATGATTTATGGTGTATACTTTTCTGCAGCTTGTGGGAGTTTGGGACATTAAATGTTAAAATTCAAGAAAATATGCCAATTAAACGACTGATCAATTAATATATACCAGCACTGTAGTAATCAATCTCCTCAATTTTTCAAAAATGTTTTCCAAACATATTGTTAACAATACTCCCGGTCAAAATACTGTCGAAAACTGTTCGCGATACACTACGTGGTCCTTTAAAAGTTAATGGTTTCCTTGCTATCAGTACTTTTTGTTAAAGGTTTTGAAACCATTTTGAACTAACCTTTGATTTGTCACTCACCTTTAAATAGAGTCCTAAAAATAATGTGAAGTAGTCTGTAATTAACATTATGTCATACCTGTCAAGTAAAAAAAATAAATCGGGATATTTTCGTTTTAAAAATCGGGAGTCGGGAGTTTACAATGAAAATCGGGGGGAAATCGGGGGTTACAAAAATAATCGAGAAGAATTCGGGATTGATTCGGATAATCGGAAGAAATCGGGAGTTTACAATGAAAATCGGGAGGAAATCGGGGTTTACAAAAATAATCTGGAGAAAATCAGGATTGATTATGATAATCGGGAGAAATCGGGAGTTTACAATGAAAATCGGGAGGAAATCGGGGTTTGCAAAACCAATCGGGAGAAAATCTGGATTGATTAGGATAATCGGGAGAAATCGGGAGAAATCGGCAGTTTACAATGAAAATCGGGGTTTACAAAAACAATCGGCAGAAAATCGGAATTGATTAGGATACTCGGGAGAAAATCGGGAGTTAACAATAGAAATCGGGAGAAAATCGGCGTTAACAAAGCTAAATTGATAAATACGTTTTCGAATTGCTTTCGGGCCGTTTACTATCTTTGTTTATTAATATGTCCAAGAGATATCATCTGCATTAAACCAAGTAACACATCATAATTAATTAATGTGAATACACCCTCAAAACTCGACGCTATGATCCTGCTATGATCCATTTTTGCGAGGGCATCTCATCAACAAATCGGTAGTTTTGAACGAAAATCGAGAGCGTACCATTTAAAAATCTAGAGTTTTTACTGAAAAATCGGGATGTCTCGTTAATAAATCACGAGTTTTTAACACAGAATCGGGATATTTTATGAAGAAAAAATCGGGATAATTTACAAAAAATTGGAATATTTTTTCAAATCTGGATATTTTACAAAAAATCTGGTTATTTCCTTAAAGTCGGGATGAAATCGGGATTTTTTGAAAATCGGGATTTTGAAAAATAAATCGGGATGAGCAATAAAAAATCGGGATTTCTTCCGATTTAAATCGGGATTTGACAGGTGAGTTATGTTAACATCAAAATGTTAACAGAAGTCTTCATTTGACAGTGTATTAAAGCCTTTTGATGTTTGAATCTAGTTTCTTTTCCTTTAATTCAATAGTTCGAAAATCTGTGTCAAATTTATTTAAATCGCCAAAACAAACAGGCTTGACAAAAAGGGGAACTTCCCGTTGCCAAACTTATGGAGGGGGTGTAATTGTTAATATTTATACTTCTTAGTTAGGCTTACATTTAATTAGATGCACATTTCTTCCAGTGTATAGTGTCCTCTCACAAGACGTCGATGTCGAGAATGCAAGAGAACCTGCTTGTTTGTTTGCCGAGAATAACTATAAACTTGACGAATGTTTCGAGGATCCTAACAGCTGCAACAGATGCTGCTGTAGAGACTTTGCTGGAGACTTTGCTGTCACGTGTACACGAATGTTCTGCCCTAAGGAAACAAGCAAAGGTACATTGTTATGAAATCATATATAAGTCTTGCATGCTTCTTAGTCCTCCATTCCTTATTGCTAATAGACCTCTTAGTCATCCATGTCACACTGGGCTGATCCATTTTTAACAATCGATCAGACTAACATAACTGAACATACGAATTCCTTCACTCTTAAAAATTATTACTTTGATTTCCTTATATTGAGAAGTTGTACTACTCATTTTAAGTCAAAAAATACTTAAATAATCTTGAACTACTGAATAATTTTTAAGTGATTTTTAAGTAATTCATTTATGGTGAATTTACTAATGCAAGGAGAGAAATTGAAATACTTACTGTAGTAATTGTAATACTCATTTACATAATTAAGCAATTAAAAAACTCAAAATGACAATATAAGTTAGACCAAGGTAAAATGAAGTAAAACTAAGTATTTAACTTTAAGTAATTTTTATACTTGGGAAATACTCAAGTAATTCATTTTTAAGAGTGTTGCTCTTTATACCCCCTCAATCAGTAAGATAAATGGCATATATTTGTTTATATTTGATAATACAATAACTACATGCTTATTTCAGAAGTTGTATGTGAATATAAAGGTAAACAATACGGTCTCAATGAAAACTTCTTATCAACTGATGGCTGCAATACGTGCCAATGCACAGAAGGAGGAAAAGTCGCATGTACTGAAATGTTCTGCGGGGATTCAATTGAGAATAACAAGGAAGAAAAGGTTGAACACATCGAGGATAATTTCGTGTGTGAGTTTAGGGGAGAGCGTTACAACACGATGGACAGTTTCGACGCAAAAGATGGCTGTAATGTGTGCACCTGCAACGCCGATGGTACAGTCTCTTGCACTCAAAGAGAATGCTCCGATTTAGAAGAGAGCGGACCTTTGTATGAATTTTCGCCCGAGGGTGCTGAGGCCCATAACGAAGATACACTAGATGTTGAAAAGGCAAGCATGTGCTCCTATTCAGGAAAAACATACATGGAAGGTGAAAGCTTCATGGCTGACGACGGCTGCAATAAATGTAATTGCGCAAAAGGTGGCGCCATTGCTTGTACCATGATGTTTTGCGTTGGTAAAAACACAGACGGCATGGGTATATGTTCTTATAATGGAAAATCATATAATTTGGGAGACAAGTTCAAATCATCGGACGGATGTAATACATGTAACTGTGACACGAGTGGAAACGTTGCATGTACTCAAATGATATGTGATGGAAACAATGCTGCTGATGTGGATCAGAACGCGTCATATAAATCCGAAGAAAGATCAGGTAATACTAGTATGAACCAAGGACGTCCTTGTATGAACTAATATGTAATTAATCGTGACAACGCAAATTAAAAAACTACTATATGCATTTGACAGAAAGGCATTACTCATATAATTGTAAGTTGAATATCATCATTTCAGACAAAATCCACGCACGAAACACAAATTGTGATTTTATTTCTATTTCAGGTGCAGGCCAAGTTGCTTGGAGTTGTGCTCTCTTTGCATCCATTTTAGCTGTGGTTGCTTGAACAGTCCAAATTCATAGATGTAGATGTGTAAACTTATTTAAACGTAGGCTATCTCGGTGAAAAAACTATGTCAGAATACGTCCAAGAGATAATCCAGTAACAATGTAGTAGCAAAGGTAGCACTCAAATATTTCCATCACCTCTATACTACACAGTTGCTCATATATCTAGAATATTCTTAACTACAACAATTACAAAAGAAATGTTTAGTAATAAAAGCGTTTACCAATATTTTGAAAGCGTTTGGTTTATTTTTCCAAATTAAACTGCGGAAAAATAGTTGAAGAATCTCGATTCATTAAATTTTTTATTATGTCCAAGTTGAAATCGAAGCAACCAATGGCAAGTTGGAAATTATTCCATATACATGTATATGAGCAACGTGGTAAGAGAGGTTTTCTCGTGCGACATAATCAAAATGAGACCTTATATATCACGGTTAAAACGAATCCCAAGCTCCCAAGTAATAAACAATATACTAACTGATTACTACTTTACTGAACTACACCCTCAAAAAGTTTGCAATTTTAACTCCAAATTGAGCATGCTAAAATCTGCTTATGTTTTTGAATTTCTATTTTCATTTGCATAACTCGTGATTAGAGTATTTATTTTGATGCTGGAAATATATTTATTTGGAGTCCAATTTTCTCAACTATTTCTACATCATTCTATGTTTGGCTGAATCAGCGACGATGAAATGGCGTGACGAAGGTTAGTCATAGACCAATTGATACATTAGATATATATTATTCAGCTTTTCATAGAGATGGGTTCATCTTTGATTTTGAGGTATTTCCCCAATTGGATCTAGATATGTACAATAAATATTTGCTGTGTGACTACATGATTTTCATAAACTTAATTTTCGTCAGTGTTCTACTAATTGTAGTTGTAATGTTGAGCAAAAAACATTGAAGAGAATTCATTTTAAAGGTAATACATTTCTTCAAACAATTTGGTATATGACACTATGTCATAAAATAAATGGTAAAAGTATATTATACTTATTTGGGAGGTTGGGTTGCTATTTAAGGTCTCTAGATTTTAGGGAGAAAACAGTAAATCTTCGGAATTATGTAAAATTTTATTCATAGAATATCATTTTGTTAGGTGAATACATGTTTGTATATTTGCATCATTTGTGACTAAACTTATTGTTTATGGATTTCAATGTTGTTTATTATCAGTAAGTACTCAAAAAAGGTCTGTCAAAAGACCTAAAACGTATATGTGGTGAGGATTTCATTTTTCAACGCGAGACAGCGCGTCGTCCCACAGATCAAAGGAGACATTGGCATTCCTTCACGTACAAGGTGTCAATTTGATTGACCATCCAGATGCTTGGCCAACCAACAACCAACAACCCCAATGCTAAATGTGGTGGATTACCATACATGGAGCCATCTCGAGGAAATGGTGTACAATCACGAGCATCCAATAAAAAATAGTGATGAGCTGAAACGCAGAATCCTTTAGTACTGGAATGTATTGCAACAGAAATCTGTCAATGAGGCTATTGATAGATGGCGCTACCGCTTGAAGCTTATTGTTGACGCAGAAAGGGGGAGGGCATATTGAGCAATTGTTAAAATAGATAAAGTGTAAAATGTTATTTAACAACACTGAAATTCATAAACAATAAGTTTAGTCACACAATCATGCAAATATACAAGCATTTTCCATGATGGTGAAATTCCCTGCAATCTGATTGGTCCACGTGACTTAAATATATTCTGTATTTACACGCACTTTCCTGTGTCAATGACGTCAGCGTTGGGATACGGTCCAGTATCCCAACGCCCCAGATTTCCATCCAGGATATGACTGTTACTGAAAAAAATCAATGGCGATTACCTTACACCAACGCATGCTTATCTTTGAATTTTGCTATAAATATCTGATTCAAATATCAGAAACGTATACTGTGATCACCACAATCAATAATTTTAAGAGGAAAAAAAGCAAACAACAAGGACATAAAGATTTTGAAGGAATATCGATGTAAAATATCTCTGAGGTGAGAAGGTTGATCTGTTTCTCCGGCCCCAAGCCAACGGACTTGATTTAGGCGAGTTTTATATGGGTAATCATGGAATAAAAACGTTATTCAATGATTTCTTGTGAAATTCAGAAAATATTCTTCCCTTGAACGTCTGTATTTCACTCTGCTAGCGCATCGTGAAATACAACCTTCTCGGGAAGAATATTTTCTGTATTTCACTCGAATCATTGAATAACTTATATTATTCCATGATGGTGAAATTCCCTGCAATCTGATTGGTCCACGTGACTTAAATATATTCTGTATTTACACGCACTTTCCTGTGTCAATGACGTCAGCGTTGGGATACGGTCCAGTATCCCAACGCCCCAGATTTCCATCCAGGATATGACTGTTACTGAAAAAAATCAATGGCGATTACCTTACACCAACGTGATGTGATGTGATGACTTGGCATTTATCAGGATGGTATCTAAACCTCCATGAATACGCAATGAAATGGAGGTTTAGATACCATCCTGATAAATGCCAAGTCATCACATTTAGCAACAAAAGAACTATGGCAAAGCAAATAGAACTTACGCTAGGGAACACGATTCTCCCAACTGTAAATACCTTGCAGCATGTAGGTCTACCACTGTCAAATGTCAACAGCAACACAAGTTTAATTGATAACAGACTGTCAAAAGGAAGACGTGCTATGAACGCCTATGTAGGGACGACCAATTTCATACGTAATCCTACAAACCCTTTAACAGCAGCCAAACTGTATTGGACAGTAAGCGTCCCGTCAATAACGTACGGGATGGAGCTTATACCGTTAACGGATAACGACTACATGAACATTGACAAGGGCCACAGAGGCATCGCCAAGAAGTTACAAGGACTCCCTTCCAACACGCCTGATGTGGCTGTTCTCCCACAGCTTGGATGGAGCAGCCTCACTTCTACCATTGCCATCACTAAACTGATGTTTCTATGGCACCTACTGACAATGATAACGGGTAATGTGTTCAGAAGCATCGCCATAAAGCGTATAACAGCCTTTAAAATGGGATACAAAATGAACCAGATGTCTCCCATAAATGATATTATGAAGTTAGCCGTAAGGTACGGATTGGCACAGATTATCTATGATGCGATGGACCATGATACAATACCGTCCAAACTAAATTGGAAACGATCTGTGAAAACTTGTATCAAAGAATATGAATTGTTACACTGGAGACGTCAACTGAATACATACAATAACCAACTTGATTTATTCAGAGAAATCACACAGGATATAAGACCCATCGTTTGGTGGATACTAGCAAGAGATGACTCGAGATTTATCAGAAGATGTTCTCTTATGGTGAAATTATTGACTGGACAGGGACTCTTTAGAACAAGTACAGGAGCCTCGGACTATATAGCAAACAGTGAGAGAGCATGCCCAACCTGCAACGCGATAGAGACTCTTGAGCATTTCATCTTAGTATGTGAGAGATACGAGCAATTACGAGGCAACATTCGGCGCATTCTTAATAGAGTATCCAATGGCCCACCTTTATCCAGAGCAATGCAGATGAAGATATGTTTTGGAGGAACTACAGTAACTGACCTAGATGATTTAAAACTAATTTCTACAGACGTTCAGAGGATGTATATTGCAAGGGCAGGGGAGTAGTTTGACATGTGATTGGCACCTAGGAGCATTAAATCTATATTTTAAACATACTTAACGCCGATGACAGTACGTTATAACACGACCTTTGATATATGAAAAAGGCAATAATGACCATGAACATAGTATCTATTGTATTTTGAGTACTTTTTGGAAGAAGTAAATTTCATGCAATGGCAAAGGGAAGTATGTATTGTAATTGGCAACGAGATGCATTTGTGTGATATCATATTTTATTGTTTTAACCGTTTCAACAAGTACGACAGAAGTCAGAATGATGTTTTAAATGTGGCCCACTTCTCAACGAGGGAAGCATCGACCTTGGGGAAGATGTCCGCCTGAGTGGAGAAGATGGGCCATGAAGTCAGCGTACCTTGTGTCGACATCCAAATCTTATATTAGATTTTATATTTTTATATTTTTATATTCATTATATTTTTGTCAGACAATATTATTAATTATCTCCAATAATGGAGGGAAAATAAATATAATAATAATAATAATAATAATAATAACGCATGCTTATCTTTGAATTTTGCTATAAATATCTGATTCAAATATCAGAAACGTATACTGTGATCACCACAATCAATAATTTTAAGAGGAAAAAAGCAAACAACAAGGACATAAAGATTTTGAAGGAATATCGATGTAAAATATCTCTGAGGTGAGAAGGTTGATCTGTTTATCCGGCCCCAAGCCAACGGACTTGATTTAGGCGAGTTTTATATGGGTAATCATGGAATAACGTTATTCAATGATTTCTTGTGAAATTCAGAAAATATTCTTCCCTTGAACGTCTGTATTTCACTCTGCTAGCGCATCGTGAAATACAACCTTCTCGGGAAGAATATTTTCTGTATTTCACTCGAATCATTGAATAACTTATAGTATTCACCTAACAAAATGATATTCTATAAATGAAAAGTTTACATAATTCCACAGATTTACTGTTTCTCCCTAAAATCTAGAGACCTTAAATAGCAGCCAAGCCTCCCAAATAAGTATAATATACCTTTACTATTGAATTTATATACATGGTGTAATATACCAAATTGTTTGAAAATATTTAACCTTTAAAATGATATATAAGTCAATGTACCATATTGAACGTAACTATTTTTATTCTGATTTGAAGTTGGGTATTGTTTTTTTGGCCCACCCTGTATATTAAATCAATGTTATGCAATAAATTGTAAACATGAATATACTTTACTACAGGGGTGTTAACGTTGTCAAACTCTTGGAGGGGAGTTGTAGTTGTTTAATTAAAAATATATGGTAATAAAACCTCGGTCACATTTGCTCTACGGCAGACGGCGGCCGAAGCTTCACAAAATCCGAATAGAAAATCTACATCATTCCGCTTATTCCTATAGTTTTTGGAAAGCTACGACAGCCGTACGGTTACCGTAGAACAAATGTGACTGAGGCATTGGAGATGCCTCTTTTGTTTGCATTCATATCTATTTGTATGTATATATTTCGCTTGTGAATGAGTGAATAGGATGTTAGTATTGCTCTTGAGTGCGTTGTAGCGATGTAAATTAAATTATTAGACTAAATGCTGTACATTATATAATATACGGACGCCATTCCTTATCTTTATCTTAGATTTGATTCACGAATAATACTATTCTAGAATAGGATATGGAAATTGTATGAAATACGACAAAAATTAATTCAAAAAATAGAATAAAACATAATACTTGACAAACTAAAATAAAATATGTTGTACCATTATTTGTGTAAAAGTGACCAGGATATACAGGGTGATCACTAAGTTCTGAGAATTTATCTGTCATTTCATTATTTTTCAACCAATTCACTTGGAATTTGCATGGTAAATGAGGAACGTAATTTTGGGTTGGATAAAGCAGTCTCATTGTCATATGATGTCACAATGGATAATAATTGTTACTATAGCAACATGACAAATGGCGTAGCGGGTCAAGCAAAATTTGAATTCAATTTTATTTTACTTGATCCAAAAGTATTGGTTGATTAATACCTATGTGCTGGACATATTTCTGTGATTTTTTTATGTTTTATGTTAATATTTCTGACTTCGTTTCTAAAGTAACAACTGTATTGCAATAAAAGAGTGTACTTTGCTCTATTTTATTATCATTCGTCCGACTTTCAAAGTCACAATCATGACTCAAAATAGCAGGGAGTTAATCTTCCATTATGGCTTTGCTCCTTCCCTCTGCTCAAACTGCCCATACTACTCTTGAAGAATTAGGGTTCACAAAAGTTGTTAATGCCCCAAATTCACCTTATAAATTCACCAGATGGGGCACCATTAGGCTTTACTACATTTGGGGTGTTGAAGCATCATATGAAAGGTCATAAGTTTGATTTTGATAAGGGAGTGATTTCAAAGGCTTGAGCAAATCTTCAAGAGATACCAAAAGGAGGACTGGAAAACGTCTTTATGAACAATGCATGTTTATCCAGGCTAATAGAAACCATTATATTTTTACATTGCGGGATATATATAATACTTGTTTTCCCCACTTCCCCAATATAGTCTAGGCTCTTCGTTATTTTTTGTTCGAATCTCTGCAGAAATTAAACCATTGTGATTTTATGAATATATTGGTTGTTTCAAATGAAAAAATGCACCCGAGCAAGTTCATGGGTCACTTTTCGTCCCATAAAATTATGGTTTACCCCCACCCCCAGGGGGGGGGGCAAGGGGGCAAAGCAAAAAAATATTTTGTGGACAGTTCTTCATACGCCACCATTAAATAAGTTTATACAATCAGCAGATATAATGAAAAATTGTTTTCAATGTTTTTTAGTAATATTTCCTTGCAAAATCAATATTTTAATCACTTAATGTCCAGTGATGCTTAGTGTTGGTAAATTGGATGTGAAGATATTTTGTCATAATTCTAAGATCTTTTCATATTTATTTATAAAAAAAATTCAATAAGAGAGCTCTTATATCAGTCTATAAGTTCAAAGAATTTCAAATCATAAAAATCATTAATGAGTGAGAAAAAATTATTTTCACACTCAGCTAAGAAGCAAGATGGGGGGGAGTAGTCCAGGATCTTCATCTTTTTTTGTTAGAATCACTGCAGAAATTAAGCCATTAATATTTGATATGTATGTTTTGATTTCAAATGAAAAATCCACCCGAGCAAGTTTCTCAGTCACTTTTTGTCCCAAAATTTATGTTTTACCCCCACCCCTGGGGGGTAAAACTAAAAGTAAATATTCTGAGCAAACTCTTTCCCAGATTTTCACGAAATAACTGCTACTATTATCTAATAATCATTGTAGATGTTATTTTTCATTGTTACCGTGTAAAATTGATATTTCAACCCTTAAATGTATACATTTTCAAATTTTGACTGACTTTGAGGATTTTATATCAGTATTCTAAGATATTTTGGTATTTAGTGAAGAAAAATCAGGGATAACGTTTTCCTATGAATCTTTATTTTCCATGAATCTTTAATTTCAAATTATAAAAAAAATATTAATGTCTGGAGCGAAGGCCATTTCTAAAGATGTTTCCACCCCCGTACAGACAATAAAGAAGCCCATGAAAAGGCCCAGGCAGTAAACGCTGAACTACAAGTTCTGTGTGAACATACTGACAATACATCATTCATTAACAATGACAATACTTTCATTCTGCAAGACGATACTATCAACGATGGCTTCCTGAATAGGGATGGTCTCCATCTCAACCCAGCTGGCACTAACCGTCTGGTGCATAATATGGGACTTACAAAATCGCTTAAGAGTGTCACAAAGCCCTTCAATCAGTATAAGAAATCCAAAATCCCTAATCCCACTCCGAGACCTAATAGCAATTCCAATTCCAACAGCAGTAAGCCAACATCATATGCCAATGCAGTAAAGTCCCCTAGACCAAACCTTAAGCCAGTTTGCTTCAAATGCGGGGAAGCTTCTCATTTAGCCAGTACATGCTGGCACCCCAGCCCTGTCAGGTGTTATTTTTGTAAAAATTTGGGCCACAAGACAGCAAAGTGCCCCAACAAGGACCATCAACTAATTGAAACATCCAATAGATATTAGGTCCTTGGTGAGGTCAGCGCCTTACCCCCGAATACAATTCTAAATGACATCATCCCCAATACCCCCCAGCCAGGTAGAACTAAGCCTAAACACCGTAGATCTAGAAAACATAAGGTTAAACCAGCCAAAACCTTCAGAATAATGTATAACAATGTCCAAAGATTAGGAATATCGAAACAAAATCTACTTAAAGATCTATTAGAAATTGAAACATATGATGTATGTGCTATAACTGAATCAGGCTTTAATGATACCAACCAGATAACAGTGTTTAGCAATAGTCATACATGGCTGGGAAAAAACAGACACTCGAAAAAAGGTGGAGGAATAGGTTTTTTGTACATAACGATACTGATATTATTGATGATCATGATAACTTACTCTCTTCTAAAGATGATTTATTTGAACGTTACTGGCTTAAAATCAAAACCGGTAAATCATATTTAAATCTATGCAATGTCTATTTCCCAAATGATGGGAGAAACATGATAGAATGCTCAGACCTGACTGATGAATTAGTACACAATATTCACCTTTCCCCAAAGTCCAAAGTGTACTCATTTGACCGCTGCGCTGATTGGTCGATGAAAATCAATGACGTCAAAGCAGGGCACATTTCGCGCCAAAACTTCAATTACTATTAGATCGCCGAATGAGTTAAATAGATCTCATTATAAAATGAGAACAAAACCAAGTGAAATACATTTTCTGACTATTTTGTCTTAAGCTGTGTCTTAAATACACCATCCGGTAAATCAAACCATAGAAATAATTGTGATACGAGTGCTCATCTTTTAACAAAGTGAATCCAACTACGCAAACCAAAGATTGACAATCATTCAAACAATAAGACTGTATGGAATCGGAATATACATTTATCATGATTATTCAATTAAATAGTTCATTATGTTTCTAATAAAAAATATATGAAGAACAGTTTTAAATGTCAGAGTCCACTTGCATTTTTCTCATCGGGTTGCCCAAATAATTTGCGATTGGTCATGGTCAATTTATATATTGAAGTAACTAATATTGCAATTCAAAGCTTAATTAGAGGCCCGTAGTCAAGGGGCCGCCCCCTCCCCTGGCCAGAAATTCTTTCAAAATCATGCAGTTTTTCATCATTCCAGTGAGCACTTTTCGTATGATTTCTTTGCTTAAACTGTCAAAAAGCCCCCCCTTGGTAAAACCGGTCCCCCAGGTAAATCCTGACTACGGGCTTGAATTGCCGGAGTTTCTTGTAGGTCTACGTCCAAAAATATCCTGAAAGTTTTCTAAAAAGATCGATATTCATAAGAACGCCCATGGTCTTTTCAACAGATAAATCGCTTCAAATAGACGATCGTGGGTAAAACAAGCAACTGTGGTACATTGTCTCAAAGCATACATGAACGGCCTTAACGTAACATTGTTCAATGAAATTACTCATCACTCATGTAACCATTGTCAAATTCTTTGGCAGACATAAACGTAACATTGTTATGTGGTATATTTAATAGGTGACTGAACGTAAGTGAAAATAACGCACCTTTGGCCCAGATTTGAGAGTCGAATACTTTTTCTTCAAGGTTAAGCCGTATCCCCTTCTTCACCCCATGAGAAAATTACACGAGCTTAAGATTACCATGGGATGTTGACATTTTGACAGTCAAGAACTAACCATGGGGTTCTGTACACTAGTCGGCGTAACTTGAAAATGTACAGGAAACATTGGACTCTTCACATTAATATTTCTCTATTTATTTGATTCCCCAGAACAATATAAAGAAGGGAGAATACAGACGTGAGTATAATTAATCAAATTCCATTTACATTTATCATAAATATTATTACTACTCACATAATTTGACAATGAATTAACCCGTTTCCGTCACGATTCACATTGACTTCTAATGTGTTAAGATTTTCCCGCGAAAATCTGCCCTACTCTGACGTCAGAGATTTCAGATTTGCTAATTATAATATTCATGAGCTGACTTTGGGGAAAGGTGAATAGCTTCCCTTGATCCAAATGAAAAAAACTTTGATTTTTGGGGATTTCAATGGGAAAATAACCCAATTTAGAAAGAATAGTTCAAAAAGTCCAAAAGGGGACCAGATTGAATTATTATGTGAGGTGTCAAATCTGGGCATTCTTAATCTCTCCCATAAATGCTCGGGTGAAGTAGCATGGCAAAGGAATGATTTTAAATCAACTATTGACTATGTTCTTGCAAATGAAAATGTCCTACCCTGTTTCAAATCTATGTTAATTGACGAAGATCACAACATATCTCTTGGTAGTGACAATACAGTCTTTATTTTAGAATTTTTGTTTCAAAGCGACAGGGTAGTTCATTCCCATAATGATCGGAATAATAACAATGTAAAAAGACAGTGTCCAAAATGGAATATCTCAGATTCTGATTGGGATTCAGGTTGGGACCCGGAAACATTGGCAGATCCAAATGATATCTGGGAAAGTTGGAAATCAAAAGTCCTAAATGTTGGGATGGGAGTTGTTTGGGGAAAAATCATTTAACCCAAAGTTAAGGTCATTCTGGGATGAGGAACTGAAAAGACTCCTGAAAAATAGAAAAGATGCCTGTAGATTACACAGATATGTCTGTAAATTTGATCCAGATCCAGATACACTAAAGGATATTTGGGATGTTTACATTGAACGAAAGAGAAAGATGTCAGATTACATTAAAGAACGTCACATTAATAATCACCTCAATACCCTAATTAAAAACTCATTTAAGAAGTCAACTAGTTCGAGATCCTTTTGGAAGACGCTCAAAATGTTTAATGCAAAAAGTAAATACCCCATTGAAATAACTGACCCTAACAATCCCGAAAGAACAGTTAGTGACCCGAAAGAAATATCTCGTTTGCTTAAAGAATATTGGCAAAAGGTTGGAAAGGTAAATAGAAACAATGAAAACTCTAAACCACCTTTGAACGATTTATTATCTAAATATGAAAATGAGACCAATTTTGGAAATGGAACATTATCTCATATAAATTTCTCATTTGATGATATTTTGACAACATTAATAAAAACAATAAATCTTGTGGTACTGATAGAATCCCAAATGAATTTTTGAAATATGGAGGTGTATCAATAGTGAACTCTTCGAATTCAATGTTTCAATATTTCATGTCCAGAGAAACTTTTCCTTATGAATGGAGGGGTGGACTTTTAAAGCCAATTCATAAAAGCAATTCTTTAAAGATTCTTGACAATTATAGAGGAGTAACTGTTACATCAAATGTATATAAACTATTTGCATCTCTTATGGAAAACTCACTTATGAACTTCTTTTTAAAAATGAGACATTCGATGAACTCCAGGGAGCCTTTTTAAATGGGAAACGCTTAAAAGATAGCATCTTCCTACTAAAGGGCTTATGTAGTATTAGGAAAGATAAAAAACTAAAGACATTTCTGGGCTTTTTGGACATTAGGAAAGCCTTTGATGTTATTGACAGGGATCTTTTATTTTGTAAACTGTGGGAGAAAGGTATTTGTGGGAAACCATGGAGAATTTTGAAACTTTTATATTCAGGGATAAGAAATAAAGTAATTTTTGGAGATTTTGAGAGTGAGTTTTTTGAATCAGAATATGGTATTCGACAAGGATGTGCCCTCTCACCGACTCTTTTTCTTGTTATAATGAATGATCTTACAGAAAGACTAAATAATGCCAGTAGGTCGAAAAATCAATCCCAATGCATCATGGAAACTAGGCCATTTGAATCTCACTGAAACCAAAGTCTACAAATACCTAATAATATGAATTATTATAAGTAACATTCTAAGTGATACAGCACATTTTAAGGAACTTTTAAGACCCAAAGCTAAGAAAATAAGCCTCTATATTAATACAACCCTTAACAAGCACTGGAAGTTCAATGGGGGAAAAAAGGTTGCCAAACTTATGGAGGGGAGTGTATTTAATAATAGTAATAGAAATCTTATGGTTGATGCAATAATAAGGATAATATATTTATTGTATGAATCAATATTAAATCCCCTCCAAAAGAGGTTGAAGGGGATGGAGTGATCTTTATCCATATTATTTAGTTACATTACTGCCATAATTTTTGGATCTAGTAAATGATATTCCAGTAATTTAATTTAATTAATTTAATTTGTGAACTTTTTCATTGGCTTCCCTGAACTACAGGAAAAGTGATGAGAGAATTACACTTGAAAATCAGATAAACTCAACATTGAATTTGGAGGGGGCAAAATAATTAATATCATGAATATATTCTGAATATCCTGCAAACTGCCTTATAATCAATGAGCTTCATATAAATTGACCATCTTAGGCATGATAAAGAAGAATTTACACAAATAATTTACCAGCTAAATATATTTTTCACATTGACCCCCACCCTCTGTTTAAGCAGGGGTAAGGATATTATAAATATTTCTCTCCATACCTATTTGACATATCAAAAAAGTTTAAAAAGAGTGAGCACAAATTATACTCTCACAAAATATTTTTTTGACATTCCCCCCCCCCCTTCCTCTATGTTGAAGAAGTGGTGGGGTTGTTATAATTTTTTCTTCTTATTGATTAGACA